CAGGGTCCAGGTGATGCTGAGGGTGGTGGGGAGGACAGGGTCCAGGTAATGCTGATGGTGAAGGTGGGGAGGACAGGGTTCAGGAAATGCTGAGGGTGTATGGAGGTGGGGACAGATTCCGGGTGATGCTGAGGGTATATGGAGGTGGGGAGGACAGGGTCCAGGTGATGCTGAGGGCGGAGGTGGGAACTGAACCTGTTAGTCAGATTCCAGAATTCAGCTTTAAATTATCACTTTTGACTACTTAAAACATGTGCTAACTCAATATTCAAAATTTCAGGTCCCTTTAATTACATGTGGGTTAACCAGACCTCCAGTACATCCTTTCTGTGTGATCTCATATAACTCAAGTTGTTAGCTTTGGGTAAGAATTTTGTGGGTTTTTTGTTTGTTTTCTCTTTAGTAATTTGTTTCCTCAAATCAAGAGAAGGAACTATCTAGGCTATCAAAGTAAACTATGAGCATTTTTACTGGGGGAGGAAGGCTCAGTGTGGGTAGGGACTCAGTACCTCCTGCCTGTCAAATAGAGTCATTTAGAAGGGCAGCAGAAAGAAGGTGGGGGCCTCCACTTACGAAGAGAGGAACTCTAAGAACTTCTGGGGTTCAGAGTGCCTTTTCCTCACGCTCTGCTGAAGATGAGTGTGGCCATGTTCATTGGGCACTCAGAAGGTGGGGGCAGTGTGAATGCTATGCCCTTGTGTAGGGCTTCAACTCCCCTGCAGCAATAGCCCCCAAAACAGACACTGGGAGCCTTAGGAGATTCTGAATAAGAGGAGCATTTGAGGTGACCTTAGAATTACCTGCCTCAATTTGGGGCATGTAGAAAGTCTGAGAAGCTACGTCAAATATTTGAGTTGAGAAGAGTTGAGGAACTTACCCATAGGAGGAAGTGCTAGAAGACAAAACACAGAAGACACATCAGTGGCGAGCTTCAGACCCCCAAAGAACCCACCTTCCAGCAGCCTTTCTCTAGGAAATTACTTTTGCTTTTGCTTGTGTGTTTAGTCTGAAAGCACATGCCGTGTGCTGGGACACTCTAGGAGGCCAGGTGGAATTGCAGGCAGTTGGGAACCACCTGGCCTGGGTGCTGAGAACCAACTCAAGCCTTCTGAAAAGCAGAGCATTCTTGGCCACTGTGCTTTCTTCCCATCCCCCGTCCACAGAGCAGACCACCCTGTCCCACTGAGCTGAGAGCCACATCCTCAGGCTAGTGATGTTGGTCCTCCCTGGGTCTAAGTGGATGCATCCCCTGCCTTCCCTTACTCTTCCACAAGTCCCTTTAAATCCCATTCTCCTGAGAGCCGCAATCCTCATCGTGTCTTGACATGCACGTTTTGTCAACCCCAGGGTATTTTTCATCTCAACATCTTAAGTGAAAACAGTTTGCTAGCACAGCACAGGGAGAGCCAGTCCCATTATGACAGACCGTACCAGTGGTTCTCACCGTCCTAAAGCTGCAACCCTTTCACACAGCTCTTCATGCTGTGGCAACCCCCAGCCATAAAACTATTTTCATTGCTACTTCATAACTGTAATTTTGCTACTATTAGAACTGTAACGTAAATGTTTTTTGGAGATAGAGGTTTGCTAAAGGGGTCGTGACCCTAAGGTGGAGAATCCCTGGACTGATGGTGAATGCCCCACAGGTGGAGAATCCCTGGACTGTGATGGCTCTTCTATTAGTGACTGAATCCGAGACAAGATGCTGTATTTTACTACAAAAGGAAAATAGACAAGAAGGATCCAAACTGAAATAAGAAGGAACCACTTAAGACAGAATGACTCTTTCAAGATTTTGCAACATAAACTTAAGGGTGTTAATCCCAGGAACAGTGAAGTGATACAAACTTACTGAGTTTTCCGGAACTGTCAACTGAAAGACATAAAGGCAAACACATCATCAGTCAATGCTGGATTTTCCCTCCTTCCTGACCTCCAAGCCCCTACATTGGATGGAATCCATGTCATTGCTGTCTGAGTCCCATTGGGGTAAATGTGGGACACTTTGGTTTCCTATGCAGCTCAGCTCTTTGGCATAAAAGGTTTCATGCCCCGTCTTCACTAACCTTAATCATTTTTTAGTTTTGATTTGAAATGGGAGATCCTTAGGCTAGTGTAGGGGTTTTCCACTGGCTTAATTTCAAGACCATCTCTCAGAAAATACTGAAAGTGGAGTGATGGGAGAGACATATGGTCAGGGCAGGCAGACCGGTAAAATGATTTAAACTTACACCAGAAAACGTGGAGGAAAAGGGCTGGAGAATTATTTATGTCCATGAGTTCGGTGGATGCCACCCACACCGGGGGAAGTTTGAGGGGCAAGACCTGGACTTACCGGAGCCTATCGGTGCAAACACTTAAAAGGAAAAGAAAAAAAAGATTGGTTTTAAAATAAATTATTCACTAGGTTCCCATCCAGACCCCTCTTGTAACACTAGAGGAAGGGTTTAGTAAGACAATTCTATTCTCCAAGAATATGCTGCCTTCTCACAGCCAGTCTGAACCCCTGTCAATGACTTAGAAACCCTCAACATCTTCATGGCCTGTAGGACCAGTTTTAGGAGTAATGGACATTTTTTTTCCTTCACAAAATGAAAGAAAAGATTCTTAGCCAAAGCGAAGTGTCATGACTTTGAGGAGACTGGCAGGGTCCTAACATGAGCCCCTTCTTCATGGCCTCTTTCTATTTATACTCAGGAGCCCTAGACGTGCTCTCCATACAGTAAACTTGTCTCTAAACTTTGGTTACAGTTTCTACTTTTGACAGTCTCTGGGGTTTAATGAGAATTCTGGTTTGGGGAGAGCTGTGATTGAAGAAATACTCCAGATATTTTGGGATAAGAATAGCAGAATTAAGAAATAAACCAAATTTATTTATATTTAAAAATTTCTAAAGAGGTGCGTGTCTGTGTGTGTGTGTGTGTGTGTGCGCCTGTGTGTGTGTGTGTTGTGGGGGGGCTTCTTGGAGTCTCTGGGCCTTCTAAAAACTTCCCACCACTTAGGATTTAGGGCTTGAACTTGGGTTGCTGGCTCAGCGGCAAGCGTCTCTATCCGTGGAGTCATGCCACTGGCTGTCTATTCTATTCTTTACCTTCCGTCATGCCCGTCAAGGCTCCCACTGCTCAGTGTAGTTTATCTTTATTTCAGAACTGCATGGGTCGTCTTTAAGATTGCTCTTGGTTTTGTGATAAGCTCATGCTTTGACTGAGGTAAAGTCAGTAACTCCACAGCTTCCTAAGAACTGAGGGCAACTAGAACCGCAGTTCCGCACTGATCTTCCGCTGAGGGTGTGCGGTGGTGATGAACAGCGCTGGCTTTCTCTTCGCTCACAGGGCATTTAGGGATGAGTTGAAATACCGTCATTTGACAAAAGTGCTCTTTAGGGAGGACATAGAGAGGAAGGTGGGTGGATTCGCGGGAGAACGTCACTGGGCTGGGGCCATAACTCCCCTAGTGTTCTAAACAAAATTTGTCTTTAATGCTAGCAGGGTTTTATCATTTGATTAAAACCCCAATTCTCTCACAACCACAAAGTGCTTGCAGTAGTTCATGACTACCTAGAGAGCACACGCTTGCACACCGGAGGACTAACCACTTCAGGTCTCAGGTGCCAGGCCACAGTGTGTAAAGTGTGGCTGGGAACAGACCGGCACTGACTCCCCTGCTGATGGAGTGGCGGGACTGTCACCTGACCACGTCACGGGAAAAGCTAAGCCTGTGCTGTGGGACTAATGAGGGGAAAGCATAAAGACGCCTTTCCTAGGAAACTTGGGAGCGACAGACTCTGAGTTCAGTGGTGAAGGGTTTCTCTTGAAAATTCTCCACTAGGAATTATGCTAAAGAAGCCCTGGAGAGACATAAGCCCACGTTTAGGATTACTCCTTCGAGCACATCTCTACAAATGCAGGCCCCTGTACTCTCATGGACCTCATAGCACATTGGCCCGTTTGTGTTCTAAAGGGCTAGTCATGTATGAAAGCAGGATTTCTCTCAAAATAGCGTCAGCACTAATTATTCCTAAAATTCCCTCTGCGTTAAGTGACCGGCACCATGAAGGGCCTTAATGTCCATCTGCAGTCTTCATTTCGTTTACGCCCTGCTGGCTTAGTCATTGTGCATATTAGTAAATTTTTCAGTGCTTAAGGGGTTCTAGACAACAGAGAAGGAAAGAGGCTTCGTAAACATGAATCTAAAATCTCCATCTAGGAAAGGTTCTAAATGATACTGAAATGTAGAAATAGATGAATAAATAACTTACCAAAAATCACGGGAGTAACTGGCAGGACAACATGAAACAAAAACATATTAGCAGAATATTTGGAACGAGCTCCAATCTCTTTCCTTGTCTTTTTCTCCAAGAGTTAATCATTGCTAATGCATCTGCTGGTGTCAGACCTCCCCCAAAGCTAGCTGTGATAAGAGGCAGGGCATTTTCTAATGAGGGGGACTGGTCTGATGTGACTGCATGCTCTGTGTAGGGTTCTCTTTTCCTCCCAGCTAGTAGGAAGGTTAATGCAGAGCAGTCAGCAAGCTGATGCTGGCTGCACTCATTCCCCTCCTTCCCTTCCCTCAGCCTATGTGCCATGGGCTCCTCCGGGCTACCTCTGTACCTGGTGTAGCATCCTCCATAGCTTTTCTTCTTGATAGAGGCAGGGAAATTTTTATTTCTTATGGAAAGCCATTGGCGAGTAGGAGAGATGACTCAGTGGTTAAGAGCACTGGCTGCTCTTCCAGGGGAGCCTTTCTCAGCAACCACATGGCATCTCACAACTATCTGTAACTCTAATTCCAGGGGATGTGAACCCTCACACAGACATACGCACAGGCAAAACGCCAATGCTCATAAAATAAATAAATAAATAAACTACAAAAAACATAGGAGAAGCAAAGCTGTTAGCAGGTTGTTCTGGGGATTTTTTTTCCTGAATCTTTCAGTAAAGTGTCTGCCTTGCCAATAACAGATTGCTCAGTAGGAGGGCATGGTTGGGGTGTTCATAACTAGAAGGACTCCACCGGATGAAGATTGGTCAGGACATTCTCTCCATTGTGGGCATCGCTGATGCTATCAGATGGATGAACAGACAAGGCCCTTGCAGACAGGCACAGCTACATGGGCATACATCCAAACACAGACAGCTTGTGGAGGCTGACACTGTCAACAGCACCAGCAGAAGTCTAACGATGAGGTCTGTCCGGACAGGGATTCTGGGCTGAGAAGAGACCCTCCCGGCCCTCCCTACACTAACACAGTCGTTTTGGAAGGGTGGAAAGGAGACGAGTCATTTCCTTTTGTTATCCACTTCCTCTGGAGAATGAAACACTGCACAGCTGGGCAAACTCCGTTTCTCTGGCTTTTGCCCCCAGTTTTGTTCCTCTCTCGGGACATTTTCTGCTTCCCCTGTTCTCCTCACCTCTGTTATTTGTAGAAGAGTCTGGACAGTGAACTCAGGAGATGCTTACCCAGCTCTAACTTGTGTTTGCCAGTTTCACTCCATTTAGTCAACAGGGGCAGAACTCTTTGAATCTCGTGCAATCTGGGGCACCCTAGTGCTGCGGGAGGTAACAACAGCAGCAGGTGACCTGTGACGTCTCACGGGAGATCTCTTTTGCTTCTTTCCCCCTCTCTGAGCTCTTATGTGTCATGGCGTGCACGTGGGGGTCTGAGGACATCTTGCAGGAGTGTGTGTCTTCCTAAGTGTGTAAAACTTGTTTGACTCTAGCGAGACATTCTACTTACCAGGAACATACCGTCATGTTGATGTTTCTGCTAGTCCACTGTACCCTAAGAGATTCTGGTACTCAGGAGACTATGTAATCTACCCTAACATGGAGACAGACAAGCCGGCCCTGAGCAGGTGCCATACTTATCAAATGGGAGCTTTCTTAGAATTGCCGTAGTCGGTAAAGCCAGCACAGAGAGCCTGATGCACGATGCCCACGGGAGTTCTCCAGTGAGGGCAGAAACACACCAAGTCCTAAGAGGATTTTGTTAACGCTTAGGAGAAGGAGCTGTGGTCTGTTTCCCTCTTTTCTGTCAACCTCCTTGGACATGAAAAATGTCATAAATGTTCAAATGCATGGGTGAACTCTGGAGGAATGGGCTTTTTTCCCCTATCTTGGCCCCATTGTCCTTCCCCTGGCTCTCCACTGTTTTTTATTTTTTATAAGTGAGTAACATCTCAGTTGACTTAACTTGCTAATTCAATTTGATTTGTGAAAGCCGTCCGCAGCAGCAGGAATACATACTGGCGTCCTGCAATAGAGGGCAGCAGCTTCCACCAGAGGAAGGCAGCTGTGCACTGAACAGAGAAAGGACGCTGCTCAGAGATGGAGGTGCTAACTAGCTGGATGCGGTGGCAGCACATCACACACACACAACAACAGATACTTAGTAGCCCGCCAGTGCGAACATTATCACATCATTGCAAACAAGAACAAAACAACCCAATTAAAAATATTCAAAAGGAGTAGATCTGACTTCAAGGCGCCTTCAGGCAGCTCATGGTCTGACTTGTTACCGGTGGGGTTTTCAGTTTCTGAAATATTTACCAGTGACTTTAGAGGAAGCTGTGCAATATAAAACAAGACTGAAGGTCTGGAGTCAGAGAGGCAGCGGGCAGAGGAACCGACTCAGGATGGGCGAGCAGACATGGCACTTACCTGGGTCTTGCCTCACTGTGAAAAGAAACAGATACATAAATGATCACGGGTTTCTGGGTGACGAACACAGCTACTTCTTAAACTCTGCGGCAAGTTCTAGCGGGAGGACTGTGAGGGCTTGCCGCGTCAGCATTCGCCAAGTGCACTAGCGGCTCTGAGCTGAGGCGCCTTTTGGAGAGACGAGTGTCTCTGGAAGAGGCCATTTCCCCCTGATTTCTCCCCAGAACCCCCACAAGTTTGAAAATTCACTGTTAGAAATTTTACATCCCTATCCTTTCCTTACCCCTCTTTGGAAAGATTGTGTTCAACTGTGATGTTTTTTATTACAACTCAGCAATTCTTAGGTTCATTTTAGTGAGCTTCCCCTTCCTCCATAAGCCTAAATATTTCACAGGGGTGGGGCTGGGGGGGCCATTGGTTCTCAGAGAATCAGCTAAGGAGACCTAGTCTGAGCGACCATGGTAGTAGATATGTTAGCTTGGAATTCCTCCTGTGTATGTTAGAAAATGACTTATGGACACGATGTATATTCATATATTAAGTCCTGAGTTCACTGCTTGGCACAGGGTAAGTACCCAAAATATAGTTATCACCACAGCACCACACCAGGAACTAAGCAGCTTCAGCTATGACCTCCAAACGGCTATGGAGAGTTGAGAATGGAGCCAGCTGCTGGGAACAGGAGTGGGGATGGGAAACTAGGGATTCTACAAAGCTAGTAAGGCATAGAGTCAGAAATAGAAATGCTGGGTCTTGGTGCAGTCACAGGATTGACATGGGGACTCGTCAACAGGAAGCTAATGAGAATACAATTGAGGAAAACTCAGGACTTACGTATTACAGGTGGTCCGGGTCTTGCTTTAATGAAAAAGACAAAAACGTTAGTATAGTTTTTGATGAAACAGAATTATCTGTTCACATGTATGACCGCTAGATGAGTCTTGCAAACTAACTAAGAGGGGGAGGTTCAGCAGGTTCATTTGGTCTCTGGATCACTCAGTTAATGTCCCATATCCCAAGCTGTGTTGAGCTGAGCTGCTTTCTTGACCCTCCACGGTCATTTGTCATTTGATGCTCACTTGTGGGCATCAGAGGACAGCCCGTGGGAATTGGTTCTTTCCTTCCACCATGTGAGTCCCGGGATGGAATTCGGATCGTCAGGCTTGGCAGCAAGTGCCTGCCGTGCCTGCTGAGCTACCTGGTTAAATGTGAATGCCATTTCCCTGAGTGTGGGCACACATTTTTGTTCATAGATGGTAAAGCAGCGGTGTGGTTAGATGTGAGCCTGAGCTTACACTGTCTCAGGCTCCGTGACAGCGTTGCTGTGGGTTAGAAACCTGTGTCTTGTGAATTCCAGGCTCTTTGAGCCGCTGGCTTTCTCCTCTTCCGAGAACTGCACCCATGGCTGGAAAGGGCTTCAGTTCTGGAAGTGGGATGCCTTCAGATCTCACCAGGGACAGAGGGAAGCACAGCAGGGTTGTTCTTATCACTAGCGAATGAGGAAGAGTTGCCCTCTCTCTGACTTAGAAACACAGAAGGTTGGATCTTCCCAGGTGCCCAGTTTTTTAAGGACTGCCTCCTTGGGGTGTGATTGCTTTGTTTGGTCTCTTATTGATTTAAGAAATAAAAAAAAATCCCACATTCAAGCTAATGGCACAAGCACCGATGGTCACCGCCTATAATAAAACATTTATCACACTTACTAGACGTTTGTTTTGAGAAAAAAGTGAGATCTACCACATACCCTGCCCTGCATCTGCTTCTTTACCATCAGAAAGTCACTGTCTCCGGGACCTTCTCCAGGGAGACCCCTTGTCCTGTCAAAGTCAGCAACGACTTGCACTTGACAAACTGTAAGTCATATTCTCTCCAGCTTGGAAAGGTGGTTCTGTGGGACCCTTGGCTCCTTCTGTTGCTGTCCATCCACTCACTCCATGTCTGCACCTAGATCTTCATTCTGTGTCTAAAGCGGGCTGTCTTCAGCACGGCCCTTAGCTCCGCATCTTTGTGTATACCTCGGATGATCCAGTTAACTCCGGTCTGCTTCTTATTCTCTCCATGTCCGCTGTTCCTCCCTGTCCTCCTGTCCTTTACATCATCACCATCATCATCATAGATAGCTTCTGTCTCCTGAGTGCTGGGATTATAGGCGTGAGCCACTATACTTGCCTGGCCCCCAGTGGCTTATGTATTATCTGTTTGCTAATTAACATCAGATTTATTCCTCGCTGGGTTTCGCTCCAAGTCTTCAGATTCAGACATACACCATATGTTTCCATAGGAAGAAGATCTTTAGGCCAGAAGAGGGTGTTGGATCCCCTGGACTGGAGTCATGAAAGATTGTGAGCCACCATGTGGGTGCTGGGACATGGACTCAGGTCTTCTGCAAGAGCAGTCAGTGCTCTGAACCGCTGAGACCATTCTGCAGCCTCCACTACATTTTATAATCTCAGAATATAATCTTGAGTGAGGAGACGTCGAGTCACCGGATCGGCACCAGTGCGTAGGACCACGCCTGGGCAGAGCAGACCAATAGATATTACATATATATCCTGCAGCGTGACTCATCTGTGTCTGCCAAGCATGCTAACTCTGACACACTTGGGAATAAGGAATGTCTTGTCTCAGTCCTCTCCAGATTGATCAGCCATGTTTCTCAGGCTTGGAGTTTCCTCATAGGTTTGTTCTCATCCTGTAAACCAGGCCATGCCTCGTGTTTGTGCTTAAAGCCAGAGGAGACTGAGCTAGTGAGGAGGAAGATGGCATAGTTCCCAGGTGGCTTTGGCATGCCTTTATGCCATCACAAACCCCATGTTGTGGCTTTTGTGAGCCTTCTCTGCCTAGTGTCCCTGAAGCCTCCACCAAAAAGAGTATTATTTGTCCAGTTTGGATTCCAACTTTTCATTCCCAGTGGCCAGACCTTCTGCTCTCTTCAAGTGACCCGTGTTCCTGGTCCCAGCTGTGTGTAGGTCTGTGACGGTTCTCTTCTTTATCAACTTGATTGATTTAGAATCAGGCAGGAGACACACTTCTGGGTGTATCTATGAGAGTGTTTCCAGGTAGCTTTTCCCCCCTAAATTGTATGTCAGGGTGTGGGTGTGTGCACACGAGTGCGGGTGTTTTGGGGGTCCTGTGGCTTTGGATCTCTTGGAACTGGAGTTACAGCGGTATTGAGCCACCAGATGTGGGTACTGGGAGCCAAACTTTGGTCTGCTGCAATAGTAACAGCACTGTCTTTCAGCTCTCCAGCCCACAGGATGTTTAGGGGAGGGAAGACCCCTCCTGAATGTGGGTGGCACCTGCCATGGGCTAGGTCTTGGACTGAATAAAGAGAGGAGAAAGTGTGCTGTCACCAGCGTTTATCTCTCTTCCTGACTACAGATGCAGTGACCAGCTGCCCCACACACCTGCTGCCTTGTCTTTCTTTCCCAGCATGTCCGAATACCCTTAAATCCTTTCCTAGAGCGTCTGACTATACTTAATCCTTTCCCCAGCATGCTGAACTACCCTTAAATCCTGAGCCAAAATAAAGCCTTCTTCCTGAAGACGCCTTCTGTCACAACAGCTGTGACTGATACCTAATCTAGGAAACTTGGAGTTTCCAGCTCTGTTCTTGGTCCTGAGTCATGATGGTATGATCATTGCACAGTGGAAATTGGCTGATTTGGCTATCTGTCAAGGAATACATGTGGGTGGGGACTTCAAAGAGGTACTAACATGTTCTAAGTCAATAGCATCTGTTCCAATCCATCAAACCAGTCCCTTGGTCCTAACACTGAAACCACTACCTTCTACCAGCAGGAAGGAGTGGGGTGTGCGTGTGTGGAAGCAGAGGTCTGCAGTCTACCAGACACACAGCATGGTTATAGATTGGGACATTTTCACCCCAAATGTGGGCTAAGTCATCTGCTTTGTCAACTCTCTATCTGCATTTTTTTTTTTTTTGCATGAATCGATAGGTTGGGAGGAGCAGCCACTTTAGAGCCTGCAGCCTCCTGACCCCACTCCCTGCAGCTCTGGGCTTCTCGGCACACTCACTTATGGTCCCCGTTGAGCATTCTGAGTTTTTAACCTTGACAAGAACTCTGCATTTTAAGTTCAGCTTGAGGAACATGTGGGGATGTTGCAACAGACTCATGAGATAGCTCTTGAGTTCTGCGTTCATCATCTGCATTCATCATCAGTTCTGTGTTCAACATGTGATCTGCAAGTTGGGTGGTGGTAGCACATGCCTTTAGCCCCAGCACTCTGGGAGGCAAAGGCAGCATGTGAGTTCAAGGCCAGCCTGGTCTACAAAGTGAGTTCCAGAACAGGCTCCAAAGCTACACAGAGAAACCGTGTCTTGAAAGCCAGAAACAAACAAACAAACAAACAACAAAAAAACCAAAACCAAAACCAAAACAAACAAAATTTGATTGGCGTTCAGTATAGTCACAGGTAGTAACTGGTACCTGAAGGCGTGTGTTGTTAACAGAAAGAGGGGGAAGCCTGTATCTGGGACCCGTGATGGCTGCCGTGAAAGCAAACGGACATGAGAAAGAGAAATCTCAGTTTCTAGCATTTAGAAGTGAAATCAGCTAAGCCTTGAAAACCCCCACATACCCCAGCAGAAAAGTAAAGAACTTACTTGTGGTTCTCTGTGAAATTACTAGGAGAGAGAGAGAGAGAGAAAGAGAAATCCATTTATTTTTCTTAACTAGAACCAACATAGAACTCTCTAATGGTTTTGATGGTGTCCGCAAGGGGATTACCCGCTAACCAGCAAGGATGCATTCAAAACAACTCCATGCAGATTAGTTGCAGCTCAAATTTAGATGCAAGATTAAGTAGTGATGAAGAGGTCAGGGGCAGAATGCCTTAAGGTCTCCTCATAATTGGACTCGAGCAGCTTTGGATTACAGACGTGCCTGAGACCGAGGGACTTTGTATTCCTGCGTACACCAATATTCTCTTGCTAGAAAAACCTCTGCCTATGCCTGCTACTTCGTAGCGATTTTTGATTGCTCTTTGCAGACCCATGCTAGCTCGTTACTTCTTTGTATCCTGTTCTGCAGTTACGTTTGGTGCAGGAAAGCTGGACTGGAAGGAACCAGAGGGAGAGACTCGGGCTGACAGAGAAGAGAATCAAATCAAATGGTACTCACTTATGGGCGTTGCAGAGGGGCCTGAAAAGTAAGAAGAGCTGTGAGAGGCACATCTGTGATGTGGGCAGCTTAGCAGGGTACAGCGCTAGTCTTGAATTAGGTCCGATGACGATATTCTTGGGTAAAGAGTTGGCCTCAGTTTCCTATCCACTTCACTACCATAGGAATTCAATGAGACGGTGCAACTGAAAAGACGTTAGTTCGTAGGGGAGGGGTACGTGGGTTCAGCCTTGGGGTCAGGTTTGGCTGGAAGACAAAGGCAAAAGGAACTGGGGGTCACACATCTCAGGTGTCTGCACACAGGGCAGAAACGGGCTGGGCACACCATAACAGCATTGGACAACAGATGGAAACCAGGCATAACTCACAGTTGGGCACCGATGAGGACCGACCACCTGTAAGACAGAGAAGGGGCTCAGTGCTTCCGTGCCACACAGGTTTGTCTCTGTTTAGAGCTCTGTCTTGACGGGGGAATTAAGCACCCTTCGGTCCAGCCTGGTCCCTGTGCCTTAGCAGACCCGCCCTTTCTGAACGGGCTCCTTGACGTCAAGGCTTCTGATACAGGAAGGCAGGTAGTTAAAGTCATATGTCCCCTAAACCCAGAGACCTTAGGAGTCAAAGAGAGGAGAATTGGGGCCCCCGTGCAGGACTTACTGATGGCACATGGAGGTGGTCCACCTGGTAAAAAACAAACAAACAAAAAACAAAGTAAACAGAAAATTACCTGCTTTTTATTTTTCCCCATTCATTTTTTATTTTGTTTTAGTTTTACATTTTAAAGAGTATTCATTTTGTGTGTGCGTGTGTGTGGGTGTAGGGTGTATGGACACACACATGTGGAGGTCAGGGGTCAACTTCTGAAGTTGGTTCTCTGCTTCTCCCTGAGGGTTTCAGGCATTGAACTCAGGTGTCAGGCTAGCGGGACAAGTCCTTTGACCCTGAGCCATCATATTTTAAGTTGTTGAGAAGTTTTCCCACTGCTATTTTACGTAAGTCGATTCTTGGATTTTTCCCATAAAAGGATTTAAAAAGTAAAAATAGATAAACACATATATTTATACTTTATAATTATATATATAATATAAAAGTGGGTGCAATGGAAACAGCAGCTTCTAAGCTTGAAGATGCCCTGCACAGCCAGGGAAATGGTTAGATGTTGTGGTATCGAATGTGGAAAGGCAGACCCAGAAGTCCGGGACACCCTCATCACAGCGGTTTTTAAGTACCCTGTTTCTCTTTCTCTGTTGGTTATTCTTTTCTGTAACCAATCTTTTATTGATGAATACATAAAATTGTAGGACCCTGTATATGTTTCCTCTTCATATGTTTGCATATCAGTCAACTTCAGATTTTACAGTATATTACTAATAACCCAGGCAGATTTTGAGAGTGACTCCCACAGTGGCCAGATAAAGACCGTTGGACCCCAGCATGGGGGTCCTGGGGGGAACGGGTGCAGTCCTACTGATCCCACAGTGGCCAGATAAAGACTGTTGGACCCCAGCGTGGGGTGCTGGGAGAGGCGGATGGATGTAGACTTACCCATCGCTTGAGAATTTACTGCATCTGAAAAGTAAGCAGAGAAGTTGAACACTTTGCTTTCTTCCTTTAAAAACAGTGACTTTGAGACAGGGCCTCCCCGCAAGTCCAGGTTAGAACTGTGACCTCTGTCCCCACTGCCCGAGGACTGGGGCTACAGACGGCACCACACCAGCCCCACTACTCTCTGCTGTTCCTGGTTTTCTCCCCCATCCTCCCCACATTAGCGATTGAACCTAGGGCCTCACACACAGTAGGCCAGAGCTTTATCACCAACCTCTATTCCTCGATATTCCTAGCCCCTTCTCTTCCCACTCCTAGACCCCTTCTTTTACATTTTTGCTTTTTATTTTGAGACAAGGTCATGTTAGTTTGCCCAGGCATGCTCTTCTCTTAGCCTGTAGTCTGGATTGGCTGCAAAGCAGGCAGTCCCCTAGCTCTGCCTGCTAAGTAGCTGGCCTTAGGACCTGAGTCACCAGTCTTATTTTGGTTTCTTCCTTGCTGCAGACTACAATAAAGGCATTTAATTTTTTCAGAGAGCTGGTGACCACTTTGTGGAATTCCAGGCAATGAAAAAGCAGAAGGCTCAGAAAATGGGACTTTTCAGTCCCTTTGTTAGGACCTCAGGTGTGGTAGGTACTGTAGGACTCTGAGAAGGCCCAGCAGGGACAGACAGTACACTGATCCCTTGTAGAGATGGCCCAGCTGGAAGACAGGAATATGCATTACTTTTCATCTGTTCATTCTTCCTTCTGCGTAAGCTCCCAATTCAGAATCTTTAGAACCACAGGGAAACTTTTTCCTTTGACCTTAATTCTTAAGTAAGTCAAGGAACCCCGGAAGCTTGTTACTGTCCTAGTAGAGTCATAAGAACTCAAGGAATGGGAGCTTTAAGCTGTTGGGTCCTAACATGGATGGGGAAATTTTGGCTCAAGTGTTTTTCAACGTCCCTGGAGACATCGGGGTCTGTCACAAAAGGAGGCAGCCAGACTTACAGTTGGATCCAGCAGCTGAAAAACAAAGGCAGAAGTTAGGTGGGAAGTCTGGTGACAGGGTCCTCCGTGGAGGGACTCACGGCCTGCTGGAGACACCAGCACACTCTTGTCTCCTCTCCTCTACAGGGACTGCCACCTGCCTGCTCCTCGGGTTGGGGTCTTTTCTAACCCATGCTGCTCTCACCTTTCTCCTCCAAGCCTTGACTCACTTATCCAGCCTCCCTCCCACTCTGGTTGACAAGTTGCTATGATCTTTGGGGGTTTTCTCTCATTTTTTTTGACAAGATCTCATGTAGTCAGACTGGCACTAGGATTGCTAAGGGTGACCTTGAACCCTGGATTCTCATCTCTGCTAGCTGTCCAGTACAAGGGATACAGTGTGGCACCATATTCATCACTTCTTGGGAACACCAACTTGATGGTGGAAAGGAAGAGGACAAGGGGAAGAACAGGGGAAATACAGAAGGAGCACAGGAGAAACACAGGAGGAGGACTGGAGGAGGACGGGAGGAGGACAGGAGGAACACAGAAGGAGCACAGGCAGAGGACTGGAGGAAGGCGGGAGGAGGACAGGAGGAACACAGGAGGAGCACAGGAGGAGCACAGGTGGAGCACAGGAGGAGGGCTGGAGGTGGACAGGGGAGCACAGGAGCACAGGAAGAGGATAGAAGGAGCACAGGAGGAGCACAGGGGCAGCACAGGAAGAGCACATGGGGAGCACAGGAGGAGGACTGGAGGAAGACGGGAGGAGGACAGGAGAAGCACAGGAGGAGGACTGGAGGAGGACGGGAGTAGGACGGGAAGAGTATGAGAGGATCACGGGAGGAACACAGGAGGAACACAGGAGGAGCACAGGAGAAGGACAGGAGGAGCACAGGAGGTAGGCAGGGGGAGCACAGGAGGAGCAAAGGAGGTGGACAGGGAGAGCACAGGAGGACAGGAGGAGGACAGGAGGAGCACAGGAGGAGCACAGGAGAAGCACAGGAGGAGGATAGGAGGAGCACAGGGGGAGCACAGGAAGATATCAGGAGGAGCACAGGGGGAGCACAGGAGGTGGACGGGGGAGCATATTTGGAGCACAGGAGGAGGACAGGAGGACAGGAAGAACACAGGAGGAGGACAGGGGGAGCACATGAGCACAGGAGGAGCACAGGAGGAGGACAGGAGGAAGGCAGGAGAAGCACGGGAGGAGCACAGTTGCTACAGTCACAAGGCAGAAGGAAGCAGAGCAAAAATGTCCAGCCTCTCCAAGAGTCTTTCCTTCCCACCAGCATGTGACTTACCGCTGCAGAGCTCTGAAGGGTCCTCTGGGGAAGAGCAAACAGGGACAGTCATCAGCAAAGCTTCACTTACCCTCTTTCCATCCAGGATGGAAACTTCTCGGAACAGCTCGAGATAACGTCATGATCTGTGTGCTCTGGTCACCTGCAGTCCCTTCAGACCTGCTCCCTGCCTGGCCACCTGAGCCGTCTGAAAAGCCTTTCTTCCCCACTCCTTGTAGGCTTCTAAAGACACTCGTTTATATAAATTCTTTTAGTTTTAATTACCTTTCTCTAAACTTTTTTTGTTCATCCACAACTCATAGGAAAGCTTCTAGCTTTCCAGCTATTCCTCCTAGGAGCAAAACTAGTGATACAATTTTCATGTGTACATTATAATATTTCCAAAGTATTTATGCGCAGGAGATATATAGTGGCTCTTAGGAGACTTTGGGACACCAAGAAAAGAGTTTCTCTCTATGAGAATTTCAAAGACAGCAGGTGTAAGGTTATTGAGAGTCCGGATAGAGGTAGCCTTGATTGAGGGTTAGGGTATGGCCAAAGTCAACTATACTGACTTTTATTCATTTACCGAAAGTTCCTTAGGACCAGAGTCACGTGGGAGAAACACCCGCTGTGGAGGTCTCGGTGGTCACGCTTTGTGGATGCTACCCTGCCCCTCTACAGTTTGACTTCATTTCCTTCGTATGCTTTATAAGATTGTACACACCACAGCAGCCGAGACCAACCAGCCTCAGTCTGTTTAAACAGTAAAATCTCCCCTCTTTAGGGCTCATTTAAACAGTTTTCTCGTCCCTTGTTATTTCCTCTACATTATTGCTACTGTGTCCTAGCAGGCCCTCTGTGAAATGCACAGCTCTTTTGAGCCACCTTCCTCTAGTGCCCAGGGAGATGGCGTGGTGTATGCTATATGTTATAGAGCACACCACCTTTCTTTGGTTCCTGGGAAGATGGCGTGTTATATGCTATATGTTATAAAGCATACCACCTTTCTTTGGTTCCTGGGAAGATGGCGTGTTATATGCTATATGTTATAAAGTACACCACCTTCCTCTGGTGCCCGGGGAGATGGCGTGTTATATGCTATATGTTATAGAACACACCATGTTTTGGAGAACATCATACCATTTAGTGATTTCCTTGCTCTTTTATTTGAAACAATTTATTTTGTGTATATGTGTATTTTGCTTACCCGTATATCTGTATACTATGTATGTGCCTGGCATCTACAGAGACCCAAAAAGGGTATTAGATCCTCTGGAGCTGGAGTTACAGTTGTGAGCCTCCATGTGGATGCTGGGAACTGAACCTGGGTCCTCCGCAGGGGCAGCAATTGCTCTTAACTGCTGAGCCATCTCTGCAGCCCCTCTCTTAATATGTGACTCTAGAGAATTCTTAGCAGCTACAAAGTGGGAAGCATGACAACATGCTTAAAACCATCATTCTGTGGCCATAAAAACCAAGATGCAGAGCGTGCCTTCCGAACATTATGCAAGGGCAGGAGCAGCAGAGAGAAAAATCACAAGAGACTTACCTTGTTCTGCAAGTTGCACTGCAGATAGAAAAAACGATTGTGGTTAGATATGGAGCAGGTAAACTGTTCTCCAAAGGAGCTGTGGAGAGCAGCCTTTCCAAGCAGCATTCAGCATCAGTAGGTCCCGCAGGCTCAGCCTGCACCAGCCCCCAGCCTCCCTCTAGATTTAGCTAGGAGGAAGGGCTGCCTCCTCAGGTTTGCATTTTTTCCACCGCTGTCCTGCCAGGCATGCAGGCTTCATTTTTACAGCTACCCTCTTCGAACTTATGCTTACTTTTTAAACTTTACTTGTACCACAATTAATAAAAACCCAGAGACAGATATTGGGGTTCAACCTGAAGGTCAGAAAAGCAAAACAGCCAGCCACTGGCTCTTACCTCGACCTCAGTCCAAAATGGTGATCCTGCCTCTCGGAATCCTCAGAATAAGATTGTGACTAAGAGCTGTCTCCTCCCATTTTATAATCCTCTCTAGGACTGGGTAAAGGTGTGCACCACTACCATCTGGCTTCTATGGTAAACTAGTGTGGCTACCAGGATTAAAAGTGTGTGTCACCACTGCCAGGTCTGTAAGACTGTTTAGTGTGGCTGTTTTAATCTCTGAACTTCAGGCCAGCTTTATTTATTAAAATACAAATGAAATATCACTACACTTCCTCCAACTCTCTGACCATTATGATTGCTTTAAAAGTCGTTTCAGTGTTAATTAACATATTGTTATGCTCATAAACAATAGTAGGCTGCCTAATGCTGATTGTAGGACAGCGGAGCCCCTGTTTTCTTAAATATGACAAGTCTTTAAGAAGGATGGTAATGACAGAGGGAAAGGCAAGGCCAAGGAACGGATTAGAGAGCAGGTGGGGCCAAAGTCCTTTATCACAGTCACTAGTGGTGAGCCAGTGTGTCTATGGGCAACTTACCAAAAGGGCCAGGAGTTTGCACTAGAAAGAAATCAGAATTAACATGTTAGCATGAATACTTTTGCTGGAGAATTTTCCTAGGGGAGGTCGAGCAGGGAGAAGGGGCAGCAATGCTGGGGTCATGGGGAACAAGCCCAGTGTGCTAACTATGAAAACAAGGACCTGTGCTCTTCCCACCAGTCCCAGGAGAAGAGACCGCTTGCCTACATGAGGACTATACTCTAGTAAGAGTCTTATTTCTCACCAGGGGTACACAGGCAGAGGAGGGAAGGGCTGTCTGGTTGGATGAGCTTCAGGGTCTGAGCTGAGGGCTAATGGAGCCTTCTGCTTTTAGTGGAGAACTGGCTTTCTGTTGATGACGCCGAGGCAACCTGAGGACTAGAAACCTGTCACCTCGCCCACAGCGTTGCATACACAGGATGAACCGTGGAGGATAACGTGCGTCCAGAACAGAGACCCTACAGATTTTCCTTCAGAAGTCGTGGCTGGGCTTCTTTCAGGATTCCTGTAGACTGTGGACGCAGGGCTTCTGAGGGGCCTGCGGGGTTTTCCAGGGCAGGCCAGCTTCTACTGTGTTTGTTGGAACATACAAGAGAACAGAGCCCAGACAGCTTTTGAGTCTTGTGGAGACCACAGCAAGGACAATTCCCAAGAAGGGGTTTGGCTGCTGCTGTTCTGCTGGCTGACAGCTTCTACTGAGTATGCACTGAGTCAGCTGGCATCAGAGGGCTGCGGTAATTCTAGGAGCGCAACTCAGTCAATCCAAAAGACCCCCTGTTGGGACAGCAGCCCCTTTCTT